TGCGGATCCCAGATTAATATTTACTAAGGATAAAATACAGCATTTGTCTCATATTAGCTAAATCTATTTCCAGAGAAAGTTACCCCTCACTCTAAACATAAGACTTAAACTCGGTATAAAATAATTCAGTGGTTTTGTGCGTGGGGCCGGGCGATGTACCATTGTATCGTCCTGCATAGTGAATAATTAGTTACCAAATTAAATACTTACGTAATATTAAGTCAATAGCTTATGAAAATAAAAAAATCTGTTGAAGATAATAACTTAGTAATATTTAAACCTATTTCCTATCACTTTAATTGCCACAATGCTCCAATGAATCGACTTAATTAATTACTCAGTGGCCAATGAGTCGATAACAAAGTAAGAGCATGGCTCCAGATATCGCAGGGTTCGAAATCCCAAGTACATTTGAAAAAGGACATAAGTGTTATTGTTTTAATATGTGTACATTCCCAGTAACCAACTGAGCTACTTGGATTCTGTAAATTCTACGATTTTACTGAAATAGTTAACATGGACATATTCTAGGTTCCTGTTTTGAAGTAAACATTCCACTTCTGTATAATATAATTCGTATTTGATAATAAATAATAATTATACTTTATATATCCAAACATTATATCAGTTTATTGAAACAATAATTTAGAACGGCCAGTTAAATTCAACAGTTAATTAAACAAATAAATAGTAATATTTTATAAAATATTACCATAAAATATGAATACGTTATTTAGATGGAAGCGTATATGCAATGTGGAGTCTGGTTTTTCGATTGCTTTCAAATCAGAGTGTTCTTGGACACTACGGACTGCAAACATCTTCTAAAAGCCTGTTCAAACATTTTTTCCAAATCTTTAAACTAAATAGTAATCAGGAACACACATTGACCTCACATATTCAAATTCTGCTCACACCCTACTCCGTAAGCCGATCTATTCAAATAAGAAGAATTTACGAGAATAAAATAGAAAATAAGAGGAACTGTTAAAATCTAGTAAATATAACAGTCCATGAGTGATATTGTTGTTGATGAAGTTGATAAAATAATTGGTAGCTGCATTGTAAATCCAAGTAATCTTATTAGGTTTGCGATTTTGTACATCTTCGCAACAGCCGCCTGCCTTACCTGTCCGTGTTCTGAATATGGCAGCAGCCGAGCGCAACGAGAGCCATGAGAACCATCACAGAGCGCCACACAAGCTGCGACAAGAATTGAACTGACATTCCGTCGAAACTAGATTCCACATTAACACACTTTCTTAAGAATAGAACAGGCAATGTTAATATTTAATATTTTGAGAAATCTATACACGTGCATATAAACACGTGTATTTAGTATTAATTTCATAGGTCAATGACCTCCTTAAGAAACTGATAGTCTCTCATCTTGTCAAGACAGTTCCCGCTTTTATGAAAACAGAAACTTCATTACCGTGTTCCCAACAGCCCGCCACTAAAAACTAACCTGAGCCAGATGATTCCATTCCAAGCTCGCATACCCTATTTAAGATAAATTTTATTATTCTATAGCCATCTACACTTAGGTTTTCCAAACAGCATCTTGTCTCCACGTCATCCGACTAAAATTTAATGCGGATTTCTCTTTTCTCACATTCATGTAATATGTCACGACCATCTGATGTAAGTACGTGTATATTGTTTGTATATACATATACATATTTTCATGGCCACTTCATCACTATTGCCGTAACACATGTTGTGTTCGTTCACATTCTTTCAGAAGTTTCGGAGTTTTGGCTTGCGGAGTGACCACACTTACGACCAGATAACACCTTCCATTCCTGCATTCACTTCACGTACTTTGTGCAAAGAACACATATTAATTAAACACTAAGAATAAAATAAATTATTAGACTGTATGTCTAATTTTCGCCTATTAATACCTCAAAAAAAGAGCCTGCTTACACTTTCTGTTCACGTGAGTGAACTTCTAGCATCTCCCTTCGTGCACTCTAAATTTCACAAATTAATAAAGAAAATTCCTTCCAAAATTACTAGCGATTTCCACTTTACGTCGTAGGCTTTAGACACCTGTCAGAAGCCTGAAGACGTACACTTACCAACATCTTCATTTCTGCAGGGCGATCATCTCAGATTCCTCATGCCACAGTTCAGGAAACACACACACACACGATAAGGCTAAAATAGGACACGCACTGTCCTTATATACTGTCACTCACTTGACCTTGTTACTAATAAAACTCACAGATGAATGGAAGTTTGGAAATAAAATAGAGGTTACTGTGGCATAGAAATTTATTGTGGTACTGTGCCAAACTTTCTCAATGGAGTTCAAATTCATAGCCATTCTCATGCTCGAAGCCAAGACACACCCGCTAGTGTACACATTTGGAATCAAAATTACGTAAAATCTAGTTACAGAATTATACGAATATTTTCTTTAAGTTAACCTATTTCAGGTTGCGATGTCGTCGTTCGCCTGGAGAAGAATGGAGAAAATAGCGACCTTAGATATGATAGACGGTTCTCGGTCCGGATTTCAACCATGATCTTCCCGAATATGAATCACAAATCTTACCGCTATGATAATCTGCTTGTGTAACTGGTAATGCGATTAGACGTTTTAGTCATCACAACGAAAGCCCAAGATTCATCCTAGGATGGTTAATATATTATTTATGATTATTTGAAAGGGACAATGTTTTCGGCTTTGTTCAACCCGTGTTTTCCTAAACATCCTCCCATCGACATTCTACGCCATAGGTTCTCAAACTGTGGTGCAGGTACCCCTCAGGGTGCCAGATATGTTTTAAAGGTGTATCATAAATCCTTATTCATTTTCATACACATACAGCATAAATTAAATTCTAGCTTTGAACAATCCTATGTCACAACTCAGTTTAAAATGAGTCGAGATTGCAGGCTTACATCAAAGCGCAAAAACCTCGAAAGATCTTAAACGCGCACCCGTTCTCATTATACAACGCACCTGTATTTATAACACGCATGGGGTACCAGACTTTTCTTTGACTTCATCAGGGGCATTGGGCACAAATATTTTAGAACCCCCTGCTAAAAAACACTGTTCTGTCCGCCAACGGTAACACGTCTCATTCAGACACACGAGGCCAAACCCAGAACCTGCATACAAACGAATCTGAACGAAGCCACTTTTACTTCCACCCGACTCAGAATTTACCAAAGTATTTAATGCCAGACAGAATACTAATAACCTCAGTGGTTCATACAACGTCGCAAAATAACCTAAATAAACAATCACGCCTGTTGTCTGACTAACACGTTTGCTACAATACAAACTTTAGAATTTCGGCTGCATTGCGACACAGTCTGTTCCCCTGTGTACGAGTAGGCTACTTAACTCCACCTTCATTAATAGTGTATTTACAGTGGAACTGCATAGGCGCTATAAGCAACTAGAAACCTTGGCCGTTTTGTGGGCATTTTCTGACAGCTTTCCGACAGTTGTTCGGATTCCTCATGTAGCAGTGACCGGTGGGGGGGGTGTTTTAGCGGACATGAACCATGTATTAGTCCACGCGGTCATTACGATCGGCAAGAAACTCGCATAAACACAAAAAAAAATTTCTCTCCAACAACAGGGCTTTCTGCCTGTCGTGTAATGTATCTTATGGTCTGTTTCACCTCTTTGGATGGAGGACCGATCTATCAAACTGTGCAGGATAACACGAAGCAAACATTATGTACATACAGTCATGCGTTAAAGTGAACTCGAACCATAGACCTCAGTGTTACAATGGTTCAAGATCTCAGGTGCTTCAGTTCTTTCAATAATACCGACACGAATATTTTATCACTAAACTGAATACGTCACATTACGGAGACGCACTTGGTTCATACGCGAATTTCATTTCTGTACAACGGCCAAACTTTAGTGTGTACTCTGTATTTGCTTAGATATTTTGAACCTCGCTTTGACAATTTCTCTTTATCGCCATATTCTGATTATGAGAGCCAACCTGAATCAAAGCTACAGAATCAGTTCTTCATTAAGGAAGCAATTTCAATTCACAGCGCACAGTCTATTGTTCTCCTTCGTGCCTTCACTAAAGCAGTTAAAGGAATGAAGGATGAGTGAGTAACAGGTGTTAACTTTGGTCACAGCCGTTCCAAAAAGGCATAAACATTTAAAAGCCGATCAATAACAGGTGATTTATGCCCACTGACATTGTCCTGAGTGACATGATCCATTATTTATTGAAGATCGTAACGCGTTCGCTCTCATGGGGGTTACCGGTGAGTATAAATTTCAGTACCGCGAAAGCCACCGTGGGGTTTCGGGACCATATCGTTTATTGGAGGTTCAGTCTTCCTGGAGTGAAATAACGCAATTCTAATACCACAGCTGGTACAGGGAAAATGCATTAAGTTTTGAAGCTTATATGCGCCACGTGGTTTACACAGCTAAAAAATGTAATCGAAGTGCCTTTAATAGTTCTAGGGAAAAAATATGATAGACTGAAAACACCATTCTATTATGCGTGGATTTCATGCATTTTGTGCAAAGAGAACATAAAAATTAAAGTTAATTAACGGTGAAAATTTAAGCTAATTAACATAAACAGCAACTGTGTTGTGTCAATTATAGCGCAACTAAACTTCTTTCTCTTACGTAATATCTTCAGCAATGTTCATGTCTGTCGTATTACGTCACTCGTGCAAACATTATATACAGAAATACGTTAACGTCGTATCGCACTTTCAACAGCGGAGAGCGTTGAGTGTACTTGAAGAACATACCATAAATTCAACCGAAAATCACTTAAATATACCCTCCATTCATTGGATAGATAATACAAAAATGATTACCAAACACCTCTTCATAAAGGCGCAAAGATAAAGCTCTACATATTCTTAACTTTCTCACTAGATGGAGACGAATGGCCAGGTTCTAGTGCCGGGCAGTTTTAAGGGAACATGTAGTCCCAACACGTACCTAATTAATTAACTTTCAGCCACGCCATTTGGCACCTGATCTTAACTTTGTACGTGAATAAATAAGAGACGCGGAAAATAAGTGCGAAAGTAGATTATATTTATGCCTTTTCCATGTAGGTACACACTGTACCATGAAACAAATTGAGGAGGTGCCTAACGCAGCCGAAGGTAGTCCGTACCTCAAATAAAACACAACTTATCAATTAGAAAGCAAGCAGGTAGTACATATAGTTACCACTGGTCTTTAAAGGGTTAAGACAATCAGTTGGTACTTTTATACACATAATTACAAACAAAATGCTTTTACAGCCGTTATATTTGCTTCTAATTTCTATGCTTCGGAAGAAAAGGGCCTCATTTCCTTAAGAGAAGGAACAATGGATGCGTCATGCCCATATATTCCTGTGTTTGTCTTGTTCAGCGGTAAAAATTTTGATCTCTGCTTTCATGATATTCAAAATATTTTTATTCTGTGACATCCACAATGGTGCATTTTACACATTTTCTTTCAGTTATCGCCAACATCATGCTAAGTAGTCTCCTTTGCACCATGAAATGATGCTGCCTCATATTTCGGAAAGAGACTGAAACATGAACTGTGACAATCACAACTTAGCTATAGTTCCACCAAATTTTTGCGTGGTTGTACTTGACGTCACCCTCAGAGAAAAATATGTTGAGGATGTACAAGAACGTAGGGTTGAAGAGGCTAGAAATAATTAAATAACGAGTAGTTTCGTAATTTTTACTTTTCACCAAATATTATTAGGCCTAAAGCGGTAAAGTCAAAGAACATGAAACTGCATAGTCGGAAACTGTGGTGGAAACAGACCACTTTGAAGGCCCAAGAGTAAATGGGATAATAATATAAAATATATTTTAAAAATATGACGTGACAGTGTAGAATGGTTTCAGCTTGCTCGGGATAGAGTTGTGTGGAACACAAAAATATAGGGGAATTTCCTGAGCAAACCAGCAACTCTCACCTTCAAATGGTCCAGAGATTTTCAGCACTATTATAATTTTTATTATTTTATCAAACCATCTTATAGGGTATTTGTCTGTGGTACACGGTCAATGCTTGCTCCTGAGGCTAACTACATAATAGCATTTGGAAGATGCATTTGAAATTAATGAAGTGCTTCGTTATCGTTAATAACTTCCACAAGCTGCACGTTGTCAGAATGGTCGTCTGTCGTAGTGTCACGCTGGAGTGTTTACAAGGTATAACATCTAAATAATTTTAAAACTATCGTATTAAGTTTTCAGTTGCACCAGTATTTATCGGTATCACATTCGCCTTTGTTGTTGTTGTTGTTATCATTATCATCATCATCATTATTGTATAGGTTTTGCTCAATAGTCTACTCTTCCAATCATCTTTTTCACCTTCCACGTATAGGTTTTGCTCAGTAGTCTAATCTTCCAATCATCTTTTTCACCTTCCACAGGAAGTCCATGATCTCAACTTTTTCATTAACTTACTTTCTTGTGCTGTTTCTACATTATTGCCCCAGTGTGGCAAGAGACAATACAGCTCACGTCAGTACTTTTAACTTTCGCCGCAAATCAAACTGTAATAACTTCTGGTTGTTGCAATACTTAAATGAAACGGGGGAATGGTGACACCGTCCAATTAACTCATCTTGGGCCATCACAATATTGCGGTATATAAAGAGACGCTGTAAGCTTGAAGGCAAACCTCGCGTTGTCTACGACACCTAGCACCAATGGCAGTGAATCTCAGCAAGTAGGACCAACTCCGGAGAAATGAAGCTTCAGAAATGGGTAAGCACTCCCTACTTGTTAACGGAGACATTCCGAATTTCCTCGGCACTGAAACTATTATTGAAAACATAAACGTTATAAATCGGCACGTATCCATTAATCAACGTGGGTTTGAGGTATAGGAATAAAGATAAAATAAACACGCATGAAAAGTCTTTCTTAGGAAATCCTTTTCCTAAAACGAAAGAAGCCGCACGTTTACTGAAACACTTGTAGAATGTCAACGCAATTTTCTTGACAGTTACAATGTGCAGACGGAGGTTCCAAGATGCTTCTGAAAAAATAGGCTAACATAATGACATTTGCTGCAGACAGTTCGAAACACGAGGCATGACTAACCTTTTTAAAATTAGGTCAAATAAATGCACATATAAGTAGATATGTTTGATCTTCTGGTGTCTTTGTTTGGGATTGGCGTTGTAGAGTAAGAGAAAACGAGCTATAATCGTGTGAGGACGCCCAAACTCTTCAGCTACCATCGCGGGCGGTCTAATAATTCGAATTTCCTGATGTGTCCAACAGGTTATGGTAATGGTGGGGTGCGTGGTGCTGTCCTGCACACAAGCGGGCGCTTCACCAAACAGAACGCGACATCGACGTCTGGGAATCGGTTACAAATATGTAATTCCGTCAATACCTTTCCCACCTCTCAAACCTAAAACACCACCCCCACCTACACCACCTCAAACACCTCCTAATTCTTACCTTCCTCCAACACCTCCAGCGCCCCCTCCACCACCACCTGCTTATGTACCACCTCCACCCCCTCCCCCACCACCGCCTCCTAGTTATGCACCACCTCCACCCCCACCG